TTATAAATATAACACGTTCGACTGGGAGAAGTTTCGACTGACGTATACGAAAGAAGTATACCGCTTGGTGTATTGGAGAACCACTCGACGGCGGCTAGCTCTGCAGCTTAAATACGTGCCTCGTTATAGATCCACTGTCTTATCGATATATAACATAGCTGTCGCATCGTTTTCAGTTTTCTTCTTATCAAAAAATATATCGAAAGATCTTTTAAAAGAAGATTAACGATAAAAAGACTTACGTATTTAATGTATCAGAAGAAATAGCTACTGTGCAATTATAGAAACCGTACAGACTCGTCCTAAAAAAGATATTATTCGGCAGATTATTAATATCCAATTATCAACGTGACATTAAATCTGCATCTCTCGCAAACGTGCACTATATTTGCATTGCAAATCTATCGGAGATGAAATATACACGACCTATCGCGATCAGCATGATATAATAGAACAGGAATATCCAGCCTCGTACCCTCGAAATGTCAACTGGTGATATTCTTCAACATTTTTCAAGAAGAAAACTGTTTTCGTCATCGAGGAAGAAAATTTTATCACTCGAGGATACTCGAAGGAGATCCCTATAACTTGATTCCATTGGTTATCTTTGCAACGTAGTCGCACCGTATCGCAACGGTCGTTCAACGAAATCATGCCTCGTTTGCACGCTCACAGATCTCTGAACGAGGTTTGAAGTACTATCCCTGGTAAAAAGTTCAGTCGAACTCTTTCTCAATGTTAAGCTCTTGTGACAACTAATAACAACATTTCTTATTTCCATCGTAATAGCATTAGAAACACCAGGTAGATGGTGTTCAAAGAGAGCTAATGTGAAACTCGAATAGTGGCAAAGGACAGTTTGTTCCTTTGACTACATTGGATCAATGACGTCAGCAGAAGGCAGAATCGTTAACCAGATCTCGCAAAGAAAAGACGCGTGGGAAGACGTCTTCGTTCATACATAGCTTCAGTGCTAATTTGTTTCCACTATTTCCATGATAAAATTTCTAGTATAATCTGATTGTACAAAATCACTGTCCTCTCTTGTACAAATAACAAGTATTAATAAAGCTCTGATTTCTGACAAATCGTAATATTTTTAGACGATGCCAGCATTATTCGTTAAGTTTGACAAATTGAATAACCAGATCGTTTTAAGTACCTCTTAATTTACTTGAACTTTCCTTACGCGCTTGATCGAAGACTGTTCACCGGCAAGAGTAGGTACTTCATTGCAAGAATGGTTTTGGCCGATTTTGCCAGGAAGGATGGTTATTCGTGGCACGATATTATCTCGAGTAGCTGTGCAAGGTGATGTCTCGATGACGTTAAAGGCCCCCGGAGTTAAAGGAAGGGAAAAGGAAGGCGAGCCCCAAGTGTGTATTCGCTAGTTACGATCGATACGCGGTTGCTTTCTAGGTCAGGGTCCCGATACATACTCGCCACTCACCCTCTACTCGGGGATATACACTCGAAACGCGTCCCGCAAATTCATTCGAAACCAACCACCCGGTGCCTCCTCTCCTGTGTTCTACCATCGGTTTCCCCCTTCCGTTTCGCTGGTTCGTGACCGCGCCGCAAACGGAAAATTGATGGGTACGGAGAAGAAAAGGAAGCGAAAACGAACATGAATAATGCGGGGAACGAGAAAAAAAAAGTTTCTCGCTTTCCAAATGAACTGACACGGCCGTGCGTATCGAACGAAAATCGCGTACGGAACGATTTCTCACGCAATCGAGATTAATGACGTTCTTTCGCGGTGAGACTCTCTCTGAAGAGAAAGCGAGGTAGAAAGATGTGTGACGCCGATGGAGAGATTTGAATGAAAACTCCAAGGAATTATTATTTAATATTTCTGCTAATCGGTTTTCTCGATTTCGTATTTTGCACAAGATGAAAGATGAGCGAGGAAAAACCTTAACGCATAACAATAGAAAGATGAGTGTAAAAAAGCATAGAGGATACAAATATATTGTTTAAAACTTGGCCGACCATAGTGACCTGATAAAACTTTGTTCATCGCACGTTCAGAAACCACAGTTAATTAACAAACGGACCATCGAGGAATACGTGCGAAGGAGTTGTCTAATTGATGATCGCCCTTTTATTTCCATTCGTGCGTGACTTGACCCATTTATTTAAGCGACCACGGTACACGTACGCCGTTGTGTCGAGTAAGCCGAAAATCAATTTTCACCGTCGAGATTATGCCAAGGGGGTTACCTTCTGGATTGAGATTCCTATCGATCACGCCATCCGTGATCTTTCCACTCCGTTTCTTGTTTCGTTTATCCCACTTTAAGCAAAATTACTCATATCAGACACTTGTATAAACTTCGCCCGAAAATGCACGCGATGCCTACCTTCGTTTACGATTCGACTAAGAAAAAACAATCGAGTGAAAAGAATTCGTGGTGGTTGTCTTATTCTACAAGGTCGAAAATCTTCTCATACTTTTGAACAAATTATTACATCGCCGTGTAAAACACACTTTATTTTCCATATCAATAAAAATATTTTAAACAAAAAGATGATAGGCCCTACCTTACCAACATTTTTAATATACGAATCATGAACTTTTGTACCGTTTCGTACATCGCACCGGGAAGAGATGAAATCGAATTCCCCCCTGGTAGACTATGGTAGCAAATAGCAAGCGTTCGCCGCGGTATTTCCGGCGAACAGGACACGTATCTGTCGTAAATTTTCTGGTCGATCCTTCTATAATATAACGGGGACATGTTTCCCAATTCCTCAGGGCTTCGGTACCGCTGTACACGTGAGAAAGGGGGGAAAGAAATGCAAGTTTAGGCAAAAGTTGAATACCCGACGGTAATTATTGTTTGTGATCAGCGAGAGAAAAAAATAATGGATTTGAATCATATTTTAATACATCCTTGGAGACGAGGTCCTGAACAATTTTTTTGTTTCTACCAAAAATAGAGGTTGATTCCTATCATTTGATAAATAACTATAAATTGATGAGACTTTCGATGTTCGAAGCGGAAAGGCCTCCTCTTTAAAATGGCGTTGAATTCATATCGATCCGACTTCCGGTTCCGGAGATATCGTCGTGTGAAGACAACCATAGTTTTTCGGCGCTGCTATTATTGTCCTCCTCGCACGTGGACCGATTCACGAACCTACCCTAATCTTCACTAACCGGCCTAGACACTCCGCTCATACGCGTAACTAGGTCACTCTGCCAGTAGTACTAAACGCTGCGCTTAGAACTTTGAAAGCCTATATCTTCGGAACGGATTGAAATATCGGGATGAGTCAAGAGCAACATTTTCCATCTCGATTTCCTCTATCAACTGAAAGGGCTTCCAATAAAAAATTCAATGCCCTTGTACGGATGCAATTACATCATTTTCGCATCTATATTTTTTTATAAATGAAATCAAAATATTGTATGATGTTACATATTCATGATACTTCCCAGAAAAACGACTAGAAACCCTTAACGAAGATGGCCGCAGGTACTTGAGGAAGAACTATTATCATTAGTACAAATCCTCTATCCAGTGTTCTATATAGATCACTGAAAATAACTGACTGAATTTCTTTCAGCGTATGCTATAAATACGCGCGAGGGATTTCGCAGAAGCGAACTCATTTATTCATTACTCACATTTGTTCACCGATCGCTACATCTATATCAAATTATTGTACAAGTCAACTAATCGTTCGACCCGATCACTAGTCTATATACAGCTCTGTGTGTATCTATGACTGTACTATAGAGTTTCAAGGCCTTTGTTCGGCAATTTAGACGCAGGCAGACGGAACGTGACGTTTAATCCATTAACCGTTATGATCCATAATCGAGAATCACGCGCATTTTAATGCGATCTTGAAATCTAAATATTACTTCAAATAATATGAATATATGTCTGTATTTTATTAATATGAAAACGTACAGAATGAGTTAACCAGTATTTTAAGTAAGAACTCGTTTAATGATTTTATTAAAACATGCTATGTATGAAATCATTATATATTGGAAATTAAATAAATGTATCCTCATACTTGATGAAG